GTCATCGGGAAATGTTACCTCGATCTTGATAATCTAATAAGGATGGGTCTTGTTGTGGGGTGCCTTGATCAGTGGCTCTATTAGATCCATATGTGGGAGGGACTTGGCAAAATTTTGAGGGTTCATCGACGGTGCTTCGGGCCAGACCTTATTCGGTAGGGGGATTGCCATTAGATATCACTGGCATAACTCTCTCTAGTTGCTTATCGACTCTTTAACACCAGTCTTTATTGAAAATTTCATCATCTTGTGATAGGTCACACTACTGCCCTCAGCCTGTTAAGCATGGGTTAACCTATAATCACATTGTATGCCAAGGGGATGTCGACTACTATGAATTTGGTCATCACGATTTTGGAGTAGAGCTCATCCCTAAACATGACATGCAGGCTCAAAATCCTGAGAGGGGAGGTAGAGTTGCTAAAGAACCCCATCAACAAAAAGTTCATAGGGGTAAGATTGTTAACTTAGAGCCCAAGTTTTTGAAAAACATTAAAATAAAAGATATCGACAAAGTTACCTATGTCAATCATGACCTTAGGCATTAATCATCTCCATAGAGACCACTAAGGCATCATTATGGTTTAAGTTGTATACTTCATCTCTTTTTCCTTGAAGGTTATTTTCAAGTCATCTTCAAACCTCGAGAGCTTTTCGATAGTAGCTTCGGTGTAGGCTTTATGACCCAAGAAGCTATCTCCTCTTGAGGTAGATCTACTAATGATGACATCAATTTGCCTCTCCATCGGCCCCTAAAGTCGGGGCGAAAGTTCCCAGTGCCTCCGGACAAACCTCCATAGGTCTCCCCAACAAACGAGTTCCTCGATTTACTCATTCAAATCGCAACAGTCTTTCATGTTGTGGCTATAATCAAGGTGGAAGTGATAGTACTTATATTTGTCTCTCCTCTCAATGATATCTTAATCGGTTAAGAGTCTTTCAAGAGCCTTTTTTATTTATTTGTAAAAAGACTTCAGTTCTAGTCATATTCAAGGAAGTCGACTCGGACCTTAGGTAAGGCAACTCAAGTTAGTCATTTCTTCTTTACCATGGTGACCTTGGGGTCGGGGCTAATAATAGTCACTCTTGTTTTAGCCTTTTATACGTCTCCTCATACTTACTTGAAACTATTACCTTCGCAATAATATATTGGTTGGCCTTCTGGAGCATCTCGAGTATCAGTGGCCTCTCCACCAATGATTAGAAAAGGTGAGAGAGTTTGAGCTCCATTATGAAAGCTTATATTACAAGTGATGGACGAATTAGGACGTCCAAAGTGTCGTATAGTGACATTTAGGTACGGAACGTGGTAGTATGATCCATCGGGTTGGTACTGCCTTCAAAGGCCTTTGATGACAGGAGGTAGAAGTTTGTCAAGACTGGCTCCTTCTAAATGTTCTAAGTGAATGAGGCTCGACTCGAGATAGGATTGTCCAACCTTTTCTCTTTGGATTATTGGAACTCTTACTACATCTCTTCTAAGTATTGGTCTATTTGTTGTAGTTGGATCCTAAGGGAGTTATCCATTGAATCTGGTAACTGTCTTAGATTCGGGTAGAATAAAGTGGTAGTGCAACAGTACACTAAATTCCATGGTTAGGAAGCGAGGTGCTCCCTCGGCCAGTAATTCTATGGGCCTCGAGCAATCTTAAGATGCTAGTATCGCGTCAGGCTATAGGATCCCGATGGGCATCGGAGCCAGTGGAAGTTGATGTATTGATCATGATTAAGATAGTGTGTTGCTTGTTGGTCTAAATTAGGTAGGTGCGGGATGATAGCCTACATCATGCCCATGAGCATATACACCTACCGGGTAAGGTTTGGGAGCACCTCAGTATAGATGAGTAGGTAACTTGATGTTTGTCCCCATGGGTGAAAGGCCGAGGTCATTGAACAGACGCCAGTACCACACTAGTGTTTATGCCAAAGTGGAGACATCCATGTGAGGGAAGGATGACAGCTACCCCCTTTGAGTAAAAGTACTATGGGTCGAAGGGAGGGTCTCCTCACTGGAGCATTCGTTGGGATGATTTATGGGTGGACATTCCTACAACATAAGACCATAAATCTAGGGCCAAAAATATTATGAAAAATCATTATTGACGTTTGAGTCAACCCGCTATGGTCTAAACCTAAGAACATAGAAGTGTCCAAGGTGATGACTAAGGTGGCTTTGAGGTGACTTCAAGGTCGAAGTATCGAGCTCTCGATGCACTACCTACACTAAGACCAAGGTCGAGGGAAACTTTTCGACCCAATCCCTCATACACTCAAGTTAGTGATCGATGTCTCCTAGTGAGTATAAGTTTTTTATCGGAAAGAAAGCCCTTTGACATTGTATCGGAGATTAGCTTTTATACATGGAATTAGAGGGGACAACATATAATCGCCCCAACGTTCCCATCTTGATATTTTATCCACGTGGGTAGCATGGGGGAGACAGTTTTGAATGACCTATTTTAGACTATTATCTATGCAGTTAGATGGGTGGAGAGTGACATAGACTTTTTTCTTTCATGATAATTTTCACATTATATTTATATGCCAGATGATGATTAACCACTAATATATTACATATCATATATCTACATATCATATATCTACAGTATAGTATATTAGAAATAGCAATCTCATTAATTGTATAGTTTAGTAGAGTACATACCATTGAAGCCTTTATTATATTATCCTAATTAAACTAATATGTTGACTTCTCTTATTTACCTAAAAGCAGAGTTGTATGACAGTCAGTATATATAGTATAGGAAAACAGCAACTCTACTCATACTATTTCAGATGAAAGAAATTTGTTGCAAAAGAAGATGCACCAAAACCTGAAAGAATTTAGACATCACCGACAATCACTGAGTCTTCATATTTGTTTGTTCTTCAGCATGACTATTGTAGTTGATTTGACCAGGAGTCTGCTCATGGTCAACATATAACTTGGACCAGAGGTCAACCACAGCTAAGTCCACATTGGTGTTGACTTGTATTACTTTTTCCAATCAACTATGTGGATGTTGACGATAACATCTCGAGGAAATTTCTTCATCTGAATTTGTGCAGCTTCAGACATTTCACGACATCATCTTTCTTTGGGAGTTTCCAATCAACTATTGCCTTCAATCTCCTGACTTTTACCAAGAAAATGTTGTGTCATCTGGTCAAAGGAGTTCATTCTAAAGGAGGATTCATTCATACATCTTGACATCACTTCTGGTCCTCTTCATGTACATTGATGACTCTGTTTCTGGTTGCATGAATTCATACCATACATTGTAATAGTGGTGAATCCATTCAATGCCACAAATGTAGGCACTCCAAATATTCTAATGAAAAGATATTGCTGATCACTAGTGATTCTTGAAACTAGCAAGTAGCATTTCAAAGCAAACAACATTGATGACCACAGGTTACAATAATAATCTTATGAACTAAGTTTTTCCTATGAGCTCCATGAAATTATGTGATTAATTTCCATCAACATATATATAACCAAAAGAAACTTATCGAAAAGTAAGAATATTTGTAGGTGTTTCCCAAAATATACAAACCTATGTCAAAAAAAACAAAAAGAAATCAACTTTTCCCTGCATAAGAAATATTAGTAATTCCACTAATGCAGACACAAAAATTCATTTGGATCTTTAACAAAAGTTATTCTATTAGCTTTCTGTTCCATGAATGTATTTTTGGGTGACCTAATGTCATTGCCACTCACATGCAGCTGAATCAAAAACATTTATGTAGAGAGTGGCCATTTAAGGAATTTTCCATGATCCAATACTGACAACTATGTTTCATGTTTCATCGAAGTTTTCTGTCATCCGACTTCTGGGTCATAGGAAAAATCTGAACTCTCTTCCATTGTTAGTGTAGGACTTCCAACCACACACAAAGAAGAAGACCATTTCAACTGATGCAATTCAAAGACAACATTGCCTTGCTGCTTCCTTAACGTATGCAAAGAGTTCTCTCTCCCGGTCAAACACTTCAATAGATTTGAACCGCACACTGATGGCAGATTCTATATATACATCCCCTTCTCCATTCATCTATGCATCAAGTTTCCTCATCCACCTACCTCATCTTTGTTCTTGCTTGAAGGCATTAGCAACAGCAATGAGTTCTGTGAGGAGAAACCTGCCCAAAGTGACAGCCATAGTCTTCATCTTGCTGCTCTTCAGCTTCCAATCCCCTGCGGAAGCAACGCGATTTGGGAAGATGGTGATTCTGGAAATGTTCCAATCACTGCCAAAAGGCGACAATGGATCTTCTGTTCCTTCAAATTGCACCAATGGATCCAGCGGCGGCAGCGGACCGTGCCCGCCCGGTCATTGAGCTTCATCTTCATTGTTTTCACGCATACTTTGTTTGATTCTTTTGTCACCATCACTGATTTGGGTAAGAAGAAGCATGTTTTGCATGGAGATGCTGTAATAATTCTAGAGCTTGAGATTGTAGCATGGACTCATTTGGCAATATCCATCCACATCCTCATAGAATAATGAGAAAGATATTTGTTTGGATCTTCAACAAAAATAATCCCAGTTTTGATCTTAAGATTTTGATGTGTTGGATTAACTCTGATGCTAAAGCTAAAGTAAACATAAGTAGAACTGCATGCAGACTGATCAAACTCAACTATAACAATGATAGAGAACAGCTGCATAAAGGATAATATTTTTGAGATTTCACCTTTCAAGTACATTGACAAATGGTGATGCACAAATAAAAATTGGTCTTAAAATTCCCAAAAAATATTACAGCAATAATCATAGTGGCAATGATAGGTAGTCTAGTAGTAATACCACCATGAATGAGTTTGAATGCCAGATATATTTTGAAAAGCCAGAAGATTACAACTTTCTCTCTTCCATGGTGGATTGTAAAGTTTAGCGTCTACTACTCATCCCTCGAGAATATAGGGTAATCAAAATATGTTCCCATGTCAGAAAGGCATGACAGGAAGTTCCAAAAGAATCTTGCCATAAGGAATATCCAGAGCAAGAACAATTGCTTTGAAGTTCCAGAAAACCTAGTATAATTTAGCAGTTTGTTTGGGGTAATCGTTTGTACACAGTACAATAAGCTTGAAAGTCTCATGCAAGTTACAGTACTTCGATTTAGCAAGTCACACATCATAGCTCTCGATTGAGATGAATGCTTGTATCGATCTTCTGTGGAGCATCTCTACATCTTTGTTTCTTTCTGCGTCGGAGTCATCTACCGCAAAGAAAGGTGGTAGATCTCCCCAGGATCACCCCAAAAACTATAAATAGGCAGCTCTCATCACCACTATAATGTGGTCCAAAAAATTCACGTATCCAAAACTGTCATATAATCAGCATTCTGAAAGTTCAAAAAGGAAGATAAGATTGAGATTACAAATTAAATGCAGTCATTCAAACAGAGACAGCAGAGGAAAAAGAAATCTTACTAAAATAGCTAGAACTATTGCTGTCTATAAGCTGTTCTTGCTGGTAGGAGAAGAAATCTTCCCTCCCACGATTCTCTCAGCATATGGCCCCTTGTCATGGACAAATTTAACAGATTCCGACAGCCTATTTAGAAGGTTCATCAGAGCAATTACTTCATTTCGTTGGAGCTGCAGCTGAAAGACCAGCAAAGATCCACCATTAATGTGAGCTATGTGATTTAAATGATTTCCCAAGACCAACCAAATATATAAAAATACAAGACCAGAAGAACCCTGGAGAGTAACTACAAAAACAGAAATAAACTTTTGCAAGATAAAAAGGCTCTTAAGTTGTTTGACGTTGATGGAATTATGTCATATTACCAGAATTCATTTTTACTCATCAGTTTACATCAGAACTTCATGATTTTAGTACTTAGATGATCCCAAAAAATTTGGTTGATCGACCACAACTTTTTTGGGTTGTTTATTATTTCACAACCATGTTCTCCACTCAAAAAAAAGAAGAAAAACACATACACACACACAAGCACACAGAGATTTTGTATGTTGTCACATATGATTAATGATCAAACTAAGCCCACTTTTGCTAGTGCAAACATAAGCATCATCTTAGTGCATAACCATTGTAATGAAGAAAGATATGTACCTGCTGATTAATATAGTTTTGGTGATCAACAGAAAACAGAATCTTCAAAGCTGTGCCCAGACCAAGAATCTGAAGTTTCCCCCAAAGGCGGCATTTCTCACATCCAACACAATCCATCAACGCACTGCAATTGATTATGGGTCCCATCAGTTTGATGGTTCTAGCTTTTACAATCATAATATGCCAAGTTTAATATTTAAACCTGATATTTCTGAATTGCTTCTGAATTTGCTGCTTCAGTTCAGGCCCACTCTCACCTTGCCAGAGTTTGGCCTCATCAAATGGCAGTGGGCAAGCAGTTTGTAATTTGGGATTGTAGACTAGTTGCCTCACTAATGATTGTGTTTTAAGATCTTCTTCTAAGTTGCCTGTGTTATACTCAGCCTGTTCTAAATAATCTGGAGCCTGTGACACATAAAGAAGAAGAATGATGTGATAGATACACATGGATCCAGAGAAGCGCTAGTATAATAACCGAGATCCATATAGCAAGTAAGACTAGAGACAAATGAAAAGATGCAGAATATACACTTTGAAACAGCCTCAGCGTGCATCCGCATTGAAACCAAAAGATGAGAGTAGCAGAGAACAGTCAAAAATGCGGATGGCAACACAGATCCATTAAGCATCTGAAACTAGTGATAACTTGAAAGATGCAAAATATATCTTTGAATGACTATTTATGGAATAATGGAATTTGGTTGCATAATTATGAAAAGACCAAGCAATACAAGGAGTTCAAAGTTAGAAATTCTTTCTCATCCTTGAACATGCATAAGAAAAATTATTATGATTGTACAATATAAAATTTTAACATTGATAATGCACTAAGTGAAATGAATTTAAAATAATTAACTAGTATTCTTCTGGATTCATTTTGGGTAATAAACCCTAGATTAGCATCATGCAAAAGAGTCACCCAAATGAAGAAAAGATATAGAGGAAAAATTATGCTAGGAGAAAATTTGAGAGGTATGACAATATTGGTTATACAAACCGGTACACATACAGAGAAGGAGGCGTTATTATATAAAAATAAACATATAATAAGTTAGGGGCTAAAGAACCTTTTCTTTTGTGAAAAAAATAAATTGGAAATAAAATCACAGTTTTGTAAATTTATATTAGGAAAAAATCCTAACATTGCAAGAGTATGTGGCCTCCTTTACATACACCATTAAAAAAGAAATATAAAAAAGTTCAAGGTTTTGAGAGAAGAAGTGGAAAATCATAGAACTTGAGAGAAAAACAGATACAAAGGCAAGATATGACTGTTGGACTATTTGAAGATGTTGCACTTGACAGAGACAAATGGTTGGAAAGTATCCATATAACTAACTGCAAACAAGTTGAGAATAAATATTGTCATCACTGGAGCAATGTGATGCAGTAAGTGAAATGTTTATACATACCATGGAGAAAATTTTTATGTCATGACAGTAAAAATATTAATTGACTAGTAAATAAAACCTATCGATACTATGGAGTAGAGTATGTCCATCAACAGTACTGTTGTAATTAATTGCACAAGGTGGTGGTAAATAACCCCATCCCATGGGTGTACAGGTGATGTCAGTTTGAACTCTGATAAAGACATTCAGATTCTCATCCTGGTTGTGCTTAGGACTGAAGATGGAAAAGCAGGGTCTGAGTTCGAAATAGGGATGGATTCCCCATTATTACCCCAGTACAAACTATTGGTCTAAAGAATAACTTTCACTTTGTAGTAAACTGTATCTATATTAATTCCACCAAAATTATGAGACAGAAAATGTCATCTATAGCATAATACCATAACGATTGACCATAACCATTGTGTAAAATGGGGCTGCCATCTTGACACAGTTAGCAATAAAAACTAACTTAAATGCATTTGTTTTGGTAACTAATGCCTCTCTCTCCATGTGTCTCCGGGAGACATTCATAAAATATTTAGCATCATATCAACTAACACAAATGATTCATTCCAATCGTTTATTCTCATGCATCAATGAGCATGCAAAGTTACACCAAGGACATAGTAAAAGGAACTATACATTCAAAATGTGCAGTGGAAATGTCAAAAACAGAAAACTATAACAGCAGCAACAAGAATAGACATGTTCTGATGAAAGACAGAAACCTCATTGTGCATGTTACATGACATAATGCTGATATTAATTGGATACATCTTGGAGATATGTTGAATTCTTGAACGAAGTCACAACAACCATGATAAATCATGATGAGATTTAGGGATCACTGCATAGTGGTATCAAGTGTTTTTTCAAAAGGAAGAAAATGCAACATGCAAGAAAATCACCTTTGTAACTGCCCGGAGAACAAACAAAAAGGTGAAGTACAAGTTTCTCACACGCTCTGGGTGCTTCAGTACTCGATCATACAACAACTCAAGATTTTCACCCCACTGTGATCAAGAAAAGAATTGAAATGTCATAAAACCTATCCCAAAAATAAGAACATACAACTAAATGCACCCTAAACATGACTAATAACAATGCAGAGCATAAGCATGAGTTAGAAATAACCAAGTTGTCAGTTTCATCAAGGAGATAATCAGAAGCTATGTGAACCGAGATGGAAGAATGCAATCCTGAAATCAGCTTGTACAAGACCTTTTTCTCCTGACAAAATTCTCCTGATGGATCTGAAAATGAGCACCAATAAGAACATTAAAAGCTATAAACTTTGTAGCCTAGTAAAAATGACATGCTGATACATGACTTTTGCAACATCAGGCTCAATCAGTACAACAGTAACTTTGGTGGCATAATTAACAATAATCAGGGGATGAGATAATTTCAACAGAGATTGACTTCAAGGAAACTGCTGGAATGAAAATAGTCAGGAGGGATTGAGAAACATTAATGACTAAAAACAGTAGGAAAGGCTTAAGAAAAATTAATGATAATAGTCAGAAAGGTTAATTAGATAGCAAAGTGGTCTCATCGTAACCAAGATGAATAAACCTACTACAAATCAAGCAAACGAGCATATAATATACATAAGAAAAAGTCGTATAAGAAAAGTTGGTCACTTAGATAATAATGTACGAGAAAAGTTGGTCACTAGAATAAGAGTGTGACTTTTAAAAACCCAAAAATCAGCATTGAGCTAACATTTTGGGCAATTTTCTGTATATATAGTTTCCCATATCCGCCTAGCTGAAGGGCCAGTGTAACCAGTGTAGCGCTCAGGATTAAGCTGAAGGTTCACATATGTCATCTCGGCTGCACCAAGAAGAGGAAAAAGTTGAACATCAATAATCAGTCAATATGATGAAACTACCACAAAGGTATAACAATTATCTAAAATTAATAAGATACCAAGCATACTAGATGCACTACCATTATCAGTCTCATCATCATAAGTCCATGGATTGTCAACTTCAATCCACCCTCTGAAAATCTTATTATCCAGAGTGCGATCAACAGTAGCCTGTGGTTTTCCCTCTTGACATATTAGATCATCAGCAGAAAGCCCATGAAAAGGTTTTTTAAAAGGCTCTGGAAACTCGCTTTCTGGACACTCACAGACACTGCAATCCCGAAGACGGCACATACCATCGTCAGGCCAGAATGGGCAGTCACACCATAATTTGACCTTCCAATGCCACAACAAAGCAAAATGACAATTTAAAAAAAAAAAGCAGAGCATTCGTTTTACAACATAGCTAAAATTAGATAATGAAATAAGTATTATAAAAATACCCATTTAGACCAATAAAATGCATTTTTAATTAGAATAAAATCAGATATCAGAGAAATTTTATCCAGCACTACTTGATAAGCATTATGCAAAAAGTCAATAAGAAAACCAAAGCATCCATTTACTAAATTATTAAAATGAAATAAGCATTATTAAAATGCCCATTTTGATCAATACAATGCAGAATATATTATAACATATTCAGATATTAAACAAATATTTATCTTCTCCAAGGCATCCATGACTGCTTGATGGACAAGTTAAAGATAATCCATCTTCTCCAAATAGCACGGAAGGATAAGTGACAAAATAGCACAGAAAGATAAGTGATAAGATAAAAAATATAGCAGTTGAACATTCATGCAGAGATCTTAAGCGACCCAAAGAACTACTAAATACAATTACAACCAAAGCATGCAGCTTCTCAAACACCAAAATGTTCAATCATGATCATTTCTTTTTTTCTTTTAAGAATATCATGATCATTTCAATTAATCTTGCCAAGTGAAATAGAAGAGAGACTACAAAAGTAAAGGCGCCATGATATCAATCAAAATTGAGATTGTATTTATGTTTCATAGCTCAGAAAAATCAAGGATATATAAGAAAGTAAAGATCAACTCTTTATCCTCTCAGCTGATCTAGCAACCTGAGAAGGGAGACTCAAACTACAAAAGCCAAAAGAAAGAAAATATTGCATCTCAAGTAAGCTGATATCATGACTTATCTCCTCTATTATTAAAATATACTTTGTTTTGACAAAAATATCCCATATGAACCCTAGCATCAAAAAGATATGTATATGCTTGACTGCTTGTGGCCACTTTCATCAATATCTTAACTGATTTTATTATCTATTATTCACTCTTAGATATCCTATGTTTGATAATAAATCTAGGATGGCGATATACCACAATGAGGAATGGAAAACAACACAGGAGCCAGAACAAGAAAGGGAACCAAAGCTATATGAAGCAAATATGGGAGCTCAATTACAAGAAGATCAAATGAAGTCTGTATGTTGGTCTGGATGGGCTTACCCAAGCAAATAAGAACAGTTTATACAAGTGTACCATTTTAAGCATCAGTCAGAAATATCAGAGATAGACATTTCACAAAGCTTATCTGTCTTCGGAAAAACTGGCACTTAACCTCGTAAGCCTTGCAATTCATCGAATAGAAAACCATTTAAATTATCAACCGAAAAACCTCACTGAATATATAGATGATGTAATTTGTAACAGGTAACAAGTATCAAGATGTTGTTGACCTGAAAACACCAGTACTTTTTCGATAGTATCAATAAGTCTGGAAATGCCTACTCAAATGAACATTGATTAAGGAGAACATGCTTTCTAGTTGGGCTAATGCTGGGATTAAAAAAATGGTGAACCACCGATTCGGCCCCCTAGATTTACCTAGAACTACAGGAGACAGAAACAAACAGATAAACACAGGGAGAAATACAAAGCAATAATTTATCAGGAAAGATTTTGCAATGAACTTTCTGTACATTCCCGCTCCACTTCAAAGGATCAATTTCTGTTGGTTTCTTCTCTTAGTTATAACTAGAACTTTCTTAAGAATTAGAGAAAGATAGAGGCAGATGCAACCTTCTGTTCCCTTGTCTGTATGTGTTGGTGGTGGTTTTAAGAAAAAAAAATCAAGAAAATTTCACTAAACTGCAGACAACTAAGCTCAATAAATATTCTACATTTCTTTCTTCTGTGATGACTAAATTCCCTAGTTCTTTCCTTTCTGATCAGATCAAGAAAAAAAGGAAAACAAATTTTGAGACTTAATCATATTAATGATGACAATTCAATCCATATCATTATGAAAATTTTCACTTGCATAAATATATGAAACGACTAATACTTATGCATCCCTAAAGCCCATTCTCACCAACAGCAATAAAACGAATCACAAGATATGAAAAAAACATACTACAAGAATTCATAAAAGAATCAAAGCCACCAATCAGTTACCTTAAAATACCGAAAGAACGGGGTAGTGACAAGATCCTGTAGTATGGGATGTAACACTTCCTTATTAAGGGAATCTACGGTTTCGTAGTCACAACAACAGTCCTCCACAATGCCGGTGTACTTCCTCGACTCCTGATAAAATGAGCCCAAATTTCGACTAATTAATTGACATAATAATCACCAAGACTCCATTTCGAATCGATTTTCAGGGAAAAGGACATCAAGATCGGATCTTTGCAAGGGAAGGAAGCGGAGAGAAGATTACGGTGCATTGGCAGAGCTTGCTGGTGATCCCGGAGAGCGGGTTCCTGGGGGAGTTCCTGGAGGTCGCGGCCGTGGCGAGGAGGACGGCAATCAGCGCCCCAACGACCCAACCCCACCGCCACCTCCTCCTGCCACCGCCATTCCTCGCCCCCTCCATGCTCTGAAAACCCTAGAACTAGCCTCCCTCTCGAATCCACCTCCAAAACGGGAAGGGAAGATTAAACCCTCGCGAAATTAGAGACGCAACGAGAAAGCCTCCGAAGGCGGTGTCGCGGTGGCCGACCGCAATCATCAACGACGGAGTCGGTGTGACGAATTAAATGGAGCGTTGCATCGGACCGTCGTCGCCATGTAGTGACGTCTTTTCACGTACCCGTTTACCTGCTACCCGCCCCACGAGTTATTGCAGCTAGTGGGACCCAATTAGAGAATTAGAGAAGTGGAGCATCAGCTTGTGGTAACGTCAATTGTATGATAGAAGGCTCCAACTACCACCATATCAATTTAGATTCGGAATGCCGCTTGACCAAGACAGACCTAATGAGGTGGCCGTGCCAAGTCATGTTGAGCCCTAATAAGAGATTACGTGGATTTTATGAGGTTTTCAAAATGTATTAATATTATGGGGATTATGACACTGCATGGCGATGACATCTTATTCTCATCCAACAAACATCGGACTTATATATCATTAATCGAACACATCATCTTCACTTCATCGTTCGATCGACATGAGATGCAGATTCATTATAATACTATTATAAAAATTAATTTAAATATTAAAAAAAATTTATTAGGTATGCACCCGATATAATTTTCATGCCCAATACAATTTTATATACTTAATACAATTTTATCGGATCTCAACTCTGGCTCCTCTCTCTTTAAACACTGTGACCATACATTATTAAGAACCTTCATTGACTTCGAATTGTTATGCATGTTTCATAACCAAAATATAACTTAACAAATATATAGTTTAACCTTTAGCAACGAAGAAACTATTTTGAACCCAGATCACAAAGAAAACCGGTTTCCATATTGACGCAAGGAAAATTATCCAAAGCAATATGTGCTCCTTGGACTTGAATTCCCAAGCCATAAACCAACAAGATCAACACAGCAGTATCATTCTATCAGTTTTTGCTAACAAGCTGACAAGTAACTGCTCAGGTATCTGAACTGAAATCATATGATATAGAGCATCTTTATCAAAAGTAGGAACTTTAGGAGACAGATATGGTGCCAAAAGTAATTCCATTAGGAATGGAGTTCAAATTAACTTCACAATTGTTTGACCAAAAAAGTTGGCCACGTACTTCTGGTCCTCATAATATGTCAAGATCAATATTACTGTTTCCTTTACAAATATACTATAGCATGACACTGGTAAGCTTATAAACCCCTGATTTTAGATCACCTGATACTCCTATGTTATAGGAAATGGAGTATGACAGGTAGTTCAGAAGGGTGGTCAAATATGGTACAGGAGAAGCATTAGTACCAGTTATCATACTTTGTCATCATGGAACCACCATCTAGTCTCCTTTGGAGACTTACCATTCCTGCAGTTCTTCACGTAGCGGTCGTTATCAGCAGGACGTTGCTGCAGCCAGAAAAAATGATTTTGATCTTAACACCAAAAAATATATGGAGGTGACTGGCAGCACAGGAAAGTATGGGTACCTTAACAGCTGAGCTTGATAACATGGACAGAATGCTGATGCAAACCGAGCTGACAGTCATTGCCGGTGACCAAGAATCGTATAGTATATCTGGCACCGCCAACAGAAGAACCATCAAGGAGGGAAATTATCAATGAAACAGTAAATGAAACATGGTAAACTTTTGTCCAAAAGGCTGACAGACCCATAGTGCTATTTACTTTGCTAGTTATTTATTTGATAGAAACATATATATTGAGCTAGTTATTCCATAACATAATTACACTAATGTACTTATTCACAATTCATGTGACTGTTTAAACTCTAACTTCTCCTGATGCACTCTTCCTAGAAATGAATTGACTTTTCATAATTATTTTTCGTCTATGTTCAAAGTTCTATTTGTTCTGTACCATCATTGGAAACAAAAATGTCTCTCACAGCAGAAACCAGTCTGATTCATGTTACAGATCAAAGCATGTTCATATTCACTACTCCATATCAAATTGTTCATGTTCAATGCAAATAATTCAGTTATCCGGTTGACATGCAATTTCAACAAAGTACCTTCTAGCGTGTATTATAAGCAGAAAATCATTGTTAAATATATAAGTTTTGAATTTTTTCTTTTTTTTTACAAAGGGTAAGTGGCAAAAGCAGGATTTGAGCCCAGGATTTTACGATAAACTATCAATGTTTTGAAAGTTGATCTCAATTATATTGTAATAATCCCTTAACTGAAACTGGTTTTTGAGCAGTGTTATTCTTCGAAGAAATGATATGAAGATATGCCCAGCGATCATGAAAGTATATACAAAATTAATTAATTGTTTGATCATATGAATGACCATATAACATTAATCACTTGCTTAATCCAAGCTAAATATTTCAAGTACAGGTTTGCCCAACTATAGCCTTGATATATACAGAATTCAATGTCTGTAGCATGATTATTTATCTTCATGAACGTCCAAAGTGCATCATCAATGACACATATTTAAGGGTATGCACTAAAAATATGAATGCAAAAAGATAATACATGTTGGCCATCATATGCTTGCTCTCTAGCTTGGGACAACATTCCAGTCACAGAAGAACTACATGGTTTTGGAGTAGGCAAAGAGACTTCAACTTTGTACAAGAGCAGACAATTCCAAGTCAAATGCAAATAGGGATGGGAAATGGTTTTTCCAACTCAAGCCAAGGCAAGTTGTTACAATAAGTTGACCTAGACCAACTCCTACTCAGTAGATGTATCTTTTAATTTTTCTAATATTTTTATATTCATTTTCTTTGCTACTTTTAGTAGCTAATTTTATGAAATCTTTAGTCATTTTAAGTATATCTGGTCCTCCTTTGATGCTCTAGTTATGGTCTAAAATGGAAAAAGGGGAAAGTACATAAGTTTAATTATAGGCAGAATGGGAATCAATTTTGCATTTCTTATATTAAAACCGTTTGATGGCCATGTTTTTGTCATAGGCTAGACACATGATCGTAAGGATGTTGGAGATGTCGAACTGGCCATGATAGTAGTAGCTATTAGAGGTAGCATATCACAATAGTGGTGCACAGGATGTTTCTGTCAGTTGAGTTGTAGCAGTGGAGGCACTTGCGCTTGTGGACAACATGTTGGAGAAGTGGAGCAGGTTTGTCGCTTGTGGCACCTGATACATGACATTTTGTCATTGGCCAGTTGGAGGAACCATATGTATATATGCATCACCCACATAACCCAATCAGTTGAGCTAGATTTGGCTAAGATGATTAATAAGTGTAAACTGGTCTACTCTTTTCTTCCGGGCAACTTTGGCCTCAGAAATGCGGGAAGCTGATGATATGGCAGTCTTAAGCCCAATATCAAAATAATTGGTGTCATACATACAGAACAATTAGAAGTGAAATGTCTTTCCAATGCCATAACAGAATTTGCCACCATTGCCTTGTGAATCATCCAAAGGATCAAAGTGAATTCATGAACTTCAAGAACCAACCTCCTAGGATGACCTATCCACCTGACAAGAAAAATGAAGTAGATCACTCAGACATGTGTCCCCCAATCAGCACCCTAGTTGTGTTTTCTTTGCACATTAAAAAAAGGAAGGTTCCTCAGCCCCAGGTACACTCTCGAGAACCCTCTTCTTCCCCTTAACCCTATTCCCTTGCATCACTTGGGGTATTGAAGGGGCTGGCTGGATGTCTACCTCTGGCATCCATGGGTTGATCAACCATCAATGAATTAACAAGGTTGGATCCATCTGCATTATACTCAGATGACCAACCTACTTTCCCTAACAACACTCAGAATTTATTAATGCAATGTTGGGAAAACAAACAAAAAAATGAGTAAGCACTACAGTGCAACCTAAACCCACAAGGGGATTAAATATGACAATATAGATCCCTAAACATGATATTCCTCGATAAGCTCCCTGTACCGGGCAAGAGATAGAGGATGTAACACATACAGAATAACCAAAAGTTGTTTTAATCAGAAACCAGTAACTAAATGAAGAAAGAAAATAACAAAGAAATATTCTCAACAATCATCACCAGTCTAATACAAAGATCCAATAATTCCAATAAATTAATTAGTAGTTTCTGGTAGAATAAAAGGAAGTGGTGTCCATTTAAGAAAATAACCCTTTTGACAACAGGAAGCTACATTTGCAATAACAATTAATAAAATTTACTATCAGGTGAAAATTTTGGTTACCACCAAGTGCTATGATAACTACCTAAACAGATATGGCCGTTGCTATAGATGTGCGGATGAAGAGGCGCAGGATGAAGAAATATGACCTGATGAAAGCAAATAGCCACAAAATAAATCACAACAAACTAAAAAAAAAGCAGCCTTTATGAAAAAAATCTTAGCAATTCATCACTTGAGGGGCTTCCATGGGGTAATGCTCCGGAAAATCGACCTGAAGCTGGTACGTCTCATTCGCATACAGAGTCCCCGGCGCCCCAACCACTTCAATGACCCATCTTTAAGCAAAACAAACAAGCAATTCGAGTAAACTAAGATCCAGGGAACCAGGAACGGGATTAAAAAAGGAAGAACAAGGCCCGAGACGCAACCTTTGGAGGTTATCGGTGACCTTGTGCTTGAAGCCGGCCGGAGGGCTCACCTGCCACTCCGCCAGTTCCTTCTGGAGCCTGTTGCACGCGATCTTGCTCAGAGACTGCGAAACGATCGACCAAATTAGGTTAGTTCCGGTGCCATGCGAAGAGGGAAAAGAGGAGGAAGGGGGAATTTTGGTGATCGCGGATCGGACAGGATCATACATAGAGATTGGGAGAAGGAGGAGGGGAAGGAGAGAAAGAACCTTGCGAGAAGGACCCGAAGAACTGGTCATGATTCGGCGGCAGTGGCGGACACAGAAAAGGGGGGTAGTATAAGCCGGCGTTCGTTTCTGCGCCTCGGCAAGAGTGATGATGCGCTTTCATTGTGAGATATTATACGATTCTTCTAAAATTGTGTATATTTCAAAATAACATTTTATACTAAAAATTCTCAATCTAATTTGGATCGATGTTTTATTTCATCACTGTTCTTATGTTACATATTTCTGAATAAAATATATAAATCATCACGATTCAATTTGATAGAATAATTAATTTATTAATTTGATGAGTATAAATAATTTAATTTAAGTTAATTATTGAGCTAATTATATATTATTTTATGCAATTAGACCTCATTTATATTTTGATCCTTAGATTTAAAATATTTATATTAGAATTCTTATAATTATAAAAGTAAAATAAGTAGGTTCATTTATCTTAATATTATCAGTTTTATTAACAAAAATATGAATCAACGTGAAAAAAGTGTTGAATCTCGGATTTTGATGATGAAACAATTGATAAGTGTTTATGATTGATCTACGTTTTGAGTGACGTATGATGCTTCAATCAGGGAGAGATAATTAAAGCAAGAAGAATCATGTTGGGTCGGAAGAAAACATGTCAGAAGATTGGACGTTGCACTAAAGGATCGGTCGACATATCGGTAGAAAGCTTCGATCCATGGATTCGGGCATTGGGCCAAGAAGAGCAAATATTGCGTCAAGGATATCGGAGTTGGGGAGGTCAACTGGCCAATTGTGCAATAGGCCGCAAGAGAGGACGATGCACTGGAGAATCGGACGAAGCGTCGATGGACCAATGACATGTCGGACAATATGATTCATGCTTAGTAATAATTGTTTAGATCGAAGTGTGTTTTATGTGTGTAGGATTAACTACGATAGCAAGGCATAAAGCAAAATGAAGTCCCGGAATCAAGAACGTGATTTCGTTGGGAGTTCGAGAGTTTGTCGGAAATCCGGATGTTCGTCGGAAGTTCTGCCGAAATTGACCGAGAAGTCCTGGAGCTTGCCAAAGAAGCTCGTCGGAACTAACCAAGAAGATCGTCATAAAGTCCAGGAGCTTACCGGGAGTTCACTAGAATATTGCCGAGAGATCATCGGAAGTTCGCTGGAAGTTCGTTAGAAGCTCACTAGAAGTTCGTCGGAAGCTTGCCGGAAGAAATCAAGATTAACCGGACTTGATTTGCTTAGGATATATATTAAGAATCATAGTTACAATATAATTAGAGTGTGATTTGAGAGGTAATCCCATCAACTTTGTTAGGGGCCAATTGGGCTCGAAGTTAGGCTGGTTTGGGCCGAATTTAAGGCCCAACCAGGATGTTGAAAGCCCAACCGACGGTGGCATCACATGGGAGACAATATCCCAAGATTTCTGGGTAGTGGTACCACCGGCAATGAATGCTACTAGCGGTGGTACTACCCCTGTCAAGTGGTGGTACCGTCCAGTGACAAACCGGCGATGGTAGTACCGCCCAGTAACGACGGTGGTACTGCCATTATCCAAGAAACCTAGGATGAGACATTTTTTAGGCTCCAAGTTTGAATCAACTTGAAGTTTATAAAACCCCTCTCATCCCTGGTTAACTTACATGAGCATAGAGAATTTAAAAAGGGAAAAACGTTGTTGTAATCTCTCGTGAGAATCCTCTTCTTCTAGTCTAAGTGTTAGAATAGTTTGAAAGAGAAGTGAGTGCTTGTAAAGGTTGTCTCCTAAACCTATGAAAAGGAGAAGAGGGGTGTAAGAAGGTGGTTGATCTTTGCATATTAAAGGAAGTTCGATAGTGGATATCGGCGGCCTTGACGGAAGAAGAATCGGTGGAGTGGATGTAGGTCACGACAACCGAACCATTATAAAAATCTGGTTTGTGTTTCTTTTGTATAATTTATCTTACTGTAAACCTCTTTACTTACTTATTACTTTCAATTCGTTTACGAACACACTTTCGAGTTAAGCATATTTTCGAAATCAATTTTACCGTACGAAACAAAATTTTAAAAATCATGATTTTTATCGTTGCACTAATTCACCCCCCCCCTCTTAGTGCCGACTCGTTCCTAACAGTTGGTATCAGTGCCTTGTAATTTCTTATTTGGTTTAACACCCAAGAGAAATTGCTCTTTTCGGCTTTCAAGAGGGTCACTCTCTCATTCGTCCTCCCTTGTTCAATGAGACGGACTACACATATTGGAAAAAGAGTTTTCTTGCTTTCGTTGAATCTTGATTTATGTAATATTATCGAAAATGGATTTCAAAAGTCTTCTCTTCCAATGAACCATTGGAATGATTTGGAGAAGATGACTTTTTCTTTAAATGCGAAAGCTATGCATGCTTTATTTTATGCCTTAGACAAAAATGAATTTAATCGTATTTCTATTTGTGAAACTATGCACGATATTTGGCATACTCTTGAAATCACACATCAAGGCACTAGCAAAGTTAAAGATTCGAAAATCAACTTTTTGATGCATAATTTTGAATTGTTTCATATAAAACCAAGTGAAACTATTGGAGACATGTACACCCGTTTTACGGATGTCATCAATGGTTTAAAAGTACTTGGTAGAAGTTTTTTTTATTTTAAACTTGTAAACAAAATTTTACGTTCTCTTAATAAGAGTTGGGATCCGAAAGTTATCGCAATACAAGAGGCAAAAGATCTTAATAATTTTTCACTTGAAGAACTCATTAGTTCATTAATGACATATGAAATGGCGCATAATGCACAAAACGAACTTGAGGACAACCTTCCAAAGAACAGGATGAATTTCAGACTTAAAACAATTGAAGATCACTCGAGCATAAGCTCAAGTGATGGTGAACTTAAACTCCTCACTATCAAATTTAAAAAGTTCATGAAAAACACTATTGTAATTTCTTGTGAGAATCCTCCTCTTCTAGTCTAAGTGTTAGAATAGTTTGAGAGAGAAGTGAGTGCTTGTAAAGGTTGTCTCCTAAACCCATGAAAAGAAGAAGAGGGGTATAAGAAGGAGGTTGATCTTCGCCTATTAAAGGAAGATCGATAGTGGATGTCGGTGGCCTCAATGGAAAAGGAATCGACGGAGTGGATGTAAGTCACGACGATCGAACCACTATAAAAATCTGGTTTATGTTTCTTTTGTGTAATTTATCTTACTGCAAACCTCCTTACTTGCTTACTACTTTCAATACATTTACAAACACGCTTTCAAGTTAAGTATATTTTCGAAATCGGTTTTACCATACGAAACAAAATTTCAAAAACCATGATTTTTATCGCTGCACTACTTCACCTCCCCCCCCCCCCCTCCTAACAGTTGGTATTAAAGCCTCATAATTTCTCATTTGATTTAACACCTAAGATGGTCACTCTCTCATTTGTCCTCCCTTGTTCAATGAGACGGACCACATATTGAAAAACTCAAATGAGAGTTTTCTTGTTTTCATTGAATCTCGATTTATGAAATATTATCGAAAATGGATTTCAAAGGTCTTCTCTTCCAATGAACTATTGGAATGATTTAGAGAAGAAGAATTTTTCTTTAAATGTGAAAGCTATGAATGCTTTGTTTTGCGCCTTAGATAAAAATGAATTTAATCATGTTTCTATTTGCAAAACTATGCACGATATTTGGCATACTCTTGAAATCATACATGAAGGCACCAGCAAAGTTGAAAATCAACTTTTTGATGCATGATTTTGAATTGTTTCATATGAAACCAAGTGAAACCATTGGAGACATGTACACTCGTTTTACGGATATCGTCAATGGTTTAAAAACACTTGGTAGAAGTTTTTCAGATTTTGAACTTGTAAACAAAATTTTACGTTCTCTTAATAAGAGTTGGGATCCGAAAGTAACCATAATACAAGAGGCAAAAGATCTTAATAATTTTTCACTTGAAGAACTAATTGGTTCATTAATGGCATATGAAATTACGCACAATACACAAAACGAACTTGAGGACAAACTTCCAAGGAAGGATTTCAGACTTGGAACAATTGAAGACCACTCGAGCATAAGCTCAAGTGATGGTGAGCATGAGACCTTTTTAGGCTCTAAGTTTGAATCAACTTAAAGCTTGTAAATATCCCTCTCATCCCTGGTTAACTTACACAAGCACAGAGAATTTAAACAAGGAAAAATACTGTTGTAATCTCTTGTGAGAATCCTTCTCTTCTAGTCTAAGTGTTAAAATAGTTTAAGAGATGAGTGAGTTCTTGTAAAGGTTGACTCTTAAACCTGTGAAAAGGAGAAAAGGGGTGTAAGAAGGAGATTGATCTTCCCTATTAGAGGAAGATCGATAGTGGATGCCGGTGACCTCGATGGAAGAGGAATCGACGGAGTGGATGTAGGTCACGACGATCGAACCACAATAAAAATCTGGTTTGCATTTCTTTTGTATAATTTATCTTACTACAAACCTCCTTACTTGTTTACTGCTTTTAATATGTTTACGTGGGTAGTTGCTGTAGATAAGGAGAGTGACGATAAGAGACGAGAGTTGTTCTATATCTATATCGATATAGTTATCGATCGATAAAAGGATCGGTTTGCATTTATGTCATTGTCAATGCAAATACCGAGTGGTCCTTTCGCCACTCGTCATCTGTCATCATTGATGTCATCTGTCATCATCAACTAAAATATTAAAATTATCTTTTTATTTATTATTTTCATATTTCTATCAATAAGAATGATGACGGTAGGATAAATAGACTATAGGTATTCGAATATAAATTTTTTAAGTCTAAATATCAAAATATTAATGATATCTAATTATAATGGATAATCTATAATTATCCTTAAATTATTTTTGACTCAGAGAACTTTGCAATCTTCCTCTCTTAATATTTGATATAGTAATCAACGTCTAAACGCAACCAGTATCATGCATATACTTCTACTCTATGTCATGTCCTTTTTTTATATCATTTATCTTAATACGATCGGCATGATAATTATTTAATTAACTTAGTAAATCTATACTTAAAATCTTTTAAGCCTAAGTTAATGATACTCGATCATTTAGTGATCCTCATAGATCAACTTAAATCTCTCACATTTGACATGGGATTAAGTTTAG